GAAAAATAGCTATCTGTCTATGTATAGACTGATTCGCACAAAATAATGAATGCATCACGCGACATCAATCGGCTTCCTGATGGCTCACAACAAAAGATGACTGCTAATTGATTAGATCAGTTGATCGGAAAATAATTTTATTCTGTCTATAAAGAAGTTTGCTTAAAAAATTCCGACAGCCTTGAACTAAAGATCGCCTGCAAAATGAGTAAATTTGTAGTGTATTAAACCGAATAGAAGATAACTTTTCATCCATCTGTGTATTATTTTTTATAATTAACCCATTGTTACTGTTTACATGATGAAGAGATTTGTAGATCAATCTTACAAGAAGACGTTGGTCGATTCTCAGTTTGGCATTAATATTATGCTTATGTTGATGCGAGTCAACCAACGCCAAGCAATACTTTCAAATTTGGAACAGGCCTTTTTGGCACAGCAACCAGCCTCCTAATTGCTTTTTAACATCAACTACTTATTAACTGAGTAAATGAGTAGTGTACTAAGTTAATTGAAAAATAGCTATATGTCTATGTATAGACTAATTCGCACAAAATAATGAATGCATCACGCGACATCAATCGGCTTCCTGAAGGCTAATTGATTAGATCAGTTGATCGGAAAATAATTTTATTCTGTCTATAAAGAAGTTTGATTAAAAACTTCTGACAGCCTTGAACTAAAAAACGCCTACAAAATGAGTAAATTTGTAGTGTATTAAACCGAATAGAACATAACTTTTCATCCATCTGTGTATTATTTTCTATAATTAATCCATTGTTACTGTTTACATGATGAAGAAATTCGTAGGTCAATCTCACCAGAAGACGGTCGATTCTCAGTTTGGCATTAATGCTATGCTCATGTTGATGCGATTCAGTTAACTGCTTCTGGTGAGGTCTCTTCATCGTATACTTCAACACGAAATGAAGGTCTTTCCATAAAGTTTATCTCAGAAGCTTCTTCGTGCCATCCTGTTCGCATGTCTACTTTTCTGGTCCCGGCAAGCTTTTCCACTTTGACCTGTTCTTCTGCGTTTCATCATTTCCTTAGCTTGCGCAGTGTTGACCTCCGGTCTATAGCCTCCGGTTCTGGCGGTCTCCTGGGCAACCTTCGAGATGAGGAGACTCGGTCGTTGACGAGTCGAGTCGGCCTGACCGTTCAACCGACGCCACGGGGACTGGCTGCCACGCTTCCGGCGGCCTCTTCACGTTGTCCGCGGCCCCGGCAACAGAACCCACCGCGTCAACACGTACTCTCGAGCCAACGACAGCAGCAGCAGCAACAACAACAACACATTCAGGCTGGCCAGATGAGCTCAGCAGTTTCGATGCAGCCGAGCTCCGGTCACGACGCCGGAGAGGCTTCGGAGCTAGCCGATGAATGGCAGGCGATACGCGGCTCTTCTTCGATGTTTGCCGGTTCGGGTGAGTGGCTGCAAAGAGGACATTTGCTCTTCGTCGGCATGACTACGAGGGTCAGGCCTTGGCAACGCGTCCTTGGCCCTTCCCGTTCTGAGGCTGCGGCCGTAGCAACAGTGATAAAGTAACAATGTTCTTGCTTTGACAGCATTAGTGGAATAGAGGGTCAACAGACTGTTATAGGCGTCCAAACATTTTCAAATAAAAGAATAGATTATAAATTTAGTTTTAATCATTAATAGATCCTTCACAAATTAAAGTATAACTTGTATATTCGTAAGTGAGTAGGGTTTCGAGACTACCAGTAAATCAGTAGTATGAGATGT